GCAGAATTGTTTTCTCTATCCGAACCATGTGAAATGAGCCGTTCAAAACCGAGTTTTGTGTACTTTTAGGTCAAATATCGAAAAAACAGCCCAAAACCCGGTTTTTTGGGAATTTTGGTCTAATATGATACGATAAGGAAGTCTCTAACCAATGAGGGAAATACATAGATCGACCCAGCTTTTCACGCTCTTTCCGAATATGACTTTGAAAAGAAGAAGAAAAATGAAGAAAACGACTAAATAGCGAAAATACTGGGATTCTGGCAGATTTCATGAACTGTTTTGTCTGTTACTTGCTATTTTTTTGTCAGCAATGTTGCAGACATAAATTTCGAGATATTGGCGAATAATTGAAGTTATTCTGATGTTGATAGAACGGTTGGCCACTATAAAGTAGTGTTGATCCCGGTCGGCACGTAGAGGCCATTCTGTCTTCGACTGGGTTTTTCTTGTTTTTTGTTTTTTTCTTTAATTTTCAAGATTATTCAATATCTAAAAATATTTCGATAAACAATAACTAATATGTACAAGAACGATAATAGATAATTCAATTGGTGAATAAATCCACGTCGAACTAGTCGAGATGGAAGTCGAACTAGAACCGTCATGAGTTGGTGATAAGGGAAAAGCCAGTAAGAATAGCGAAAGATAAGACTGCTAAACTAAGTAATATAGTGTATTTGAGTCATCTTCGTCTTCATCACTTGTCTCTGTATCTGAGACCTCAGAATAGTCTACAGCATCAGTTAATGAGGCGTAGTACTTGGACGATCGTGGTTGTAGGTGTTCTGGATTATACCTAGCAAAAGCTAGGTAATACATAACCGAAGCTATATGGGCACAACAACCCACTACACGACTCCCGTTTGGGCATTTGCAATACCAGCCCGTAATCTGCCTGTTGTTATATTGTATATATAACTCGTATTTCACGGCATTTCTGTGACGGGACTGTATGCGCGCTCGCAAAAGGTCCTGTTTTTTATTTGCGACTTTTACGAGAAATGCTCCGTCCTCTGATAAATGTTCTGTAATGTAGGAACGCGCTTGTTTTAACTGGTATGTTCCCAGTGTCAATACTTGTAACTCATCAAAATCCATTTTTGGAAAGTTACTGACACTGTCTGTGGCATTTATGCTGGTCCATTTCAGTTGTTTCTCGCTTTTATCTTTAATTTTATCGATATATTCTTTGATTTTATTCGTTTCATGAGCCAATTCAAGGATTTTTTGGTCAATTTCTTTATCTTTGCTTGTATCTTTAACAAAGACCGGTCTATAGCAGTTAATCAAAGCACACACGATTTCGAAGTAACTTCCTATTTTCTCAATCATTGTGTTTGGTACGATGTTACTAAAGAACCGCCACTGCTTTACACGGCCATTTGCTGACTCAATGACCCAGCGGACTTTAGTAATCAATCTTGTTTTGTTTGCTTCGGCAGTCGTGTATTGAGTTTGATCTTTTTTCAAAAATAGAGGCATCTTGGTCTCGTAACCGAATTTCTGTAGGTCCGCTAGACAGTCGCGGAAACCACGGTCAACGACGATCACATCTCCTGGTTTCATCCAGTTTTGAAATCCTTGTACATTGTTATATAATAAATGTTTTGTTATCTCTGAATCGTTGTTTTTTCCGTCCGCAAAAAACGGACCTAACACCGCTATTATGTAGCCGTCGGATGAGACTACCATCATCGGCTTAACAAGCGGCTTTCCTTTATGTAGACTAAAACTCCGCCTTTGCAATACATTATTGTGACTTTTTTGAATACAGACATACGTCCCATCCAGTATAATTATAGCTTTGGTCGGATCATCATCCACCAGTAACTGTTGAGCTAGTGGGCGTGTATGCTTTTGTATCACATCTGTTCTCGTTATATGTCCAAAACCTAAATGCTTGGGTACGAAATACTGTCCTAACGCAGAACAGGTACTGTCTAAAATTCTACTGATTTGCATTTTCTCTTCTAATCCGAATAGTGTACATAATGCTTGATGACTCAAATCTAACCGAAGTTTAACTAATAGAATGGCAATTGCCATTCTAGGTGTTCTAATATCACTATGCCGTAAACTGGATGGCGGTATGTGAGAACATAAATCGTTAAACCGGTCTCGAGTTAAGCCTGTCAAGACGTGATAGTTGTTGTCACTCATTGGTTCTTCATGATTGTCCAAGTTCAATGGTGGTCGCTCTTTTAAATTGTTTAACATTTTATCTTTATTTTGTATTTGCTCTTTTAGCTCTTGAAATAGTTTTATCATCTCATCACGAGTGATTGATGACTTATTTGATTTCTCTTTTTTAATTATTTCAATACTTTTTTGGCTTAAGTTGCCATCAGTTAAATGACTGGTGCAACATCTGGTACCTTCCTGAATGTAAACTTGATGGTCGAGCAAACAGTTGACACGTAATTCGTTATCAACCACGATAAAATGTGTTTTTCTTTTGGCAAAATAGATTTCACAAATTCAACATTTTCGATGTGATTTGGCCAGCCTAAAAACTGGGAATGAAAGAGAATAGTAATAGATGATGTAGTAGGTGAAGTAATAACAGTGGAAAAGGATTTCGTTTCGTTTATGGTAGTTCTTCTTGTTGGTAATTCCATTTCTGGATCAGTTTGAATTGCTATATCAGCTTTTTGTACGTCGACGTCCATGATTGATTCACTTTCGCTTTGCAAGCTGTTGTTAGGCGTAGCAGCCTTTTTCTTGGCAAATAATTTCAGAAAACATGAATTGTGTAGTAGTAATTGTAATTGCAACAGTCTATTTTCGATCACATATTTGAATAATTCTTCATAATTTTCGAGATATCGACATCTTTCATCATAACGGCAGAGTTTGCCGCACAGACCGCAATTACGTTTCATCGTTGTTTCAGCCATTGCGAATGGTGTTCAGACAAATCTTTTGAAAACTTTCACACTGAATGTGCAAAAGCAGTCCCAGTAGGACTCTTGGGTTTAATTCGAAATGGATGCAACAATATATTATTTAACTGGTTAACTTATATTTTTATAAACTAACCAAGGTGAGGCCACTAAAATATATCGCTTTACCTTTGTTATCCGATAGATTACTTTGTTTTTATTGAGCGATGTGACAGTATGTGTTCACTTGAATAGCTTCCGGACCCCACCCCGACTGACTTCCATGTTAGAGCTAACAACTCTATGGCAGTCAGTTTCGGCCTGCGCCCTACAGGCCTCGTCAGAGGGATTTTAATAGCTAAATTTGACCTAGAAGATCGTGTGACCATTTTCGCTATTTAGTCGTTTTCTTCATTTTTCTTCTTCTTTTCAAAGTCATATTCGGAAAGAGCGTGAAAAACTGCGTCGATCTATGTATTTCACTCATTGGTTAGAGACTTCCTTATCGTATCATATTAGACCAAAATTCCCAAAAAACCGGGTTTTGGGCTGTTTTTTTGATATTTGACCTAAAAGTACACAAAACTCGGTTTTGAACGGCTCATTTCACATGGTTCGGATAGAGAAAACAATTCTGCATCAGATTGAGTGTCTTTTAAAGTTTTTAGTGGGATTTCTAGGTCAGC